GAACTCATTTACAACATTAAATAATGTTTCAAAATCTTAAATTCTATCCATTACTTATTTGACGTTTAGAAGAACTTATCAAAAGACTTTATTTTCTCATTTGAATTCCTTTTAAAACTTCTAGTTTTTATCCTAGAAAATAAGAGGGGAGATTAACATGTTGCCAAAATCGTTTCTAACAGAATCGGTGTACTTTATCACCTGTGCTTAATTGATTTTTAAAATAACAAAGTTTGTGTTGGCGAAAACAAATTTCTCTCAAGTTTCTATCGGTTTTGAAGATAATCGATGCTTTGAAATCACATTCGCCCATAACTCGAATACCTGGCTCCCCTACCTTTATTCTGAAACCCAAGCTCAGATTATTTATCAACTTGTTATTGACTAAAGGCAGAAACCATTTCAACACTTCAAGTGAAATCAGAGACAATTTAATCCAAATATTTTCCTTTCTGCAACCTTGAATATGCATCAGCTGATCTCACATAACCATGTATTAAGTATTAAAATCCTAACAAAACTATTTTTTGGGGCAGAAATAACCATTCACTTGATCTACATCCATCAAAGCAGACAAAGTCCTCCTTTTTTCCAGGTTTTGGTTACTCAACTAAAATATTTTCATTATGAAATTGAACGACAAAACCTGTGGGATTATGTTTGAATTTCTAGTAATATGATATATCATACAAATGCTTTCAAAACCCGTGTTGCCATTGAATAAGTAAAAGTTTGAAAATGAACCCAAATTATTCTTGTATTACACCAAAAGTAAATAAATGAAATATTTACAGGTACAGTTATTTGGTTAAAATATGTTTGTCTGACGCAAACTATATAATATTATGTTTACATACACAGTGTCAAAGGTTAAGTCTAACATATATTAAATTTATTCATTATTTTCCACCATTTCAAAATATTTGAAAAATCTACTCATATTCATTGAATATGTATGTCAAAGATTAACCTAAATTTACTTTCTTTGATGTGTCTTTAACTTAAGTGCTCTTTAAATAGAACAATTTCAAATGATATTTAAAGTCATAATAATTGTCAGCTTCATTTTAAACTTCAGTAGGGAAATATGTCAAATGTATTAAAATTTTACAATTTTTCACATCATTAATTATGTGTGAAAATCGAGAATAATTTAAATACTGTATTATATAGATTAAATAGTCACAGTAATAACAATAAAGCATCCATTTTAAAATCGAAATGAATGTCATATTCTCTTAAAAATACCTGCCATAACCTGTTGATAACCTTATAAAACACCAGGTAATAATCCTCTTGGTTAATCCACCTGTATTGATTACCTGCACCCCACCATATTTAACAAAACCCAGCTTAAATACCCTGTAAATGTACATGTACTGTACTTAGGATATTCAAATATAATGAATGGCCTACAGTAATTTTTAACAGCAAAAAATAGGCTATATTTAAACTATTCGCATATGGATATACTTAGGCATGAATTACATTATAAGACGAGAAGACCAATATATTTTATTGCCAATTTTTACATTTTCAAAATTTCACGATTTCAAATATTAATAAAGTCTGATTAATTGCATTTCAATTCAGGTCGAAAAGATTATTTGTATTTCAATATTTCTTTGTTTGAAATCAGTTTCTAATTCATGAGTGAAGTGGCACTGATCCTCAATTTTTCGTAATTTTCAGATAATGTAATTTTCTTTCTGATTGAGATTAATCTCAAATCTTGATAAATTGAAAAGGAAGCTTTTTAAGACCCTGAAATTGATGTCCTTAATTCGGGTGTCTGAATGCCAATCATGCATGATCAGCTAGGTGACCTCTATAAGATGTCCAGGTGTTCATTGTTACCTGGTCTTAATCTACAAACCATTGTCTTTTAACCTAAGCTTCTGTCAAAATATCAACATATGTTCTCACAATGGAGTAAAAAAAGATACTTTTTTTTGCAACTGAAATGACTCAAATTAATGTTTTATTCATGAAATTTACTCAAGAAGAAAACAGCCTGGTCACTGAATAAATTTGAATAAAATTAAATTTAGTCATATAATTAATAACGTACCTTTATTACTTATTCCACAGAGATTTAAGAATTTACCTGATACAGTTTATAATTAAGCTATTTTTTTTTTATCTAATTATACGACACATGCTAAAGTTTATAGCTTTTGAAAGAGAGATTTTAAGAAGTAAGTGATAATTATTGTCATTAATAGGTTTTAGTATTTTTCTTCCAAATTTTCTAATTAACTAAAATCAGAGTTCAAAGTCATTTAATCTTGTTAAATGTAAACAAACTGTTTAACCTATAATTAAATTAATCTAATTAATTATATACCTGTACAGTATAGAGTCCAATATAATCCTATAAAAACCTGTTGAACCAGACCTTGTTGTACTATAGGTTTATACATCTACATACATGTAGTGTATAATCATCTCTACCTATCTTTTACCTATTACCCTAAATGTATCTTTCGTTCACTGCTGTAAAAAAGGCCACTTATGTTCTTGATTACCTCAGCTAAATGCACATTATATACATCTCTATAATAAACTTAAATAAATGTAGATTTAATTTATTTAGGGTTCATGACCGTATTGATGGCAAATGACAGACTGAACCACATGTAGGCACACTTTCCTACCACCCATCAATAGTGAAATCATATTGGAAAAACTTAGTAAAATGTATCAAGCAACTTTTTTTTTTTAATGTTGGGACTTTTGTCATATTCATCATAATTTTGTGTAACATATTTTGAACTTTCCATGTGAAAATACAAGTTATCAATTAAAATGTATTTTAGGAGGGTAAATTTTCGACAGTTTGTTATGTTGTACATGTCTGGTACATATGTCTGCGACACAAGCGAGTAAATGTGAACTCAAAATCAGTTTGTAACTGTACGTTTTACAAACAATGCCTGGAGGCAGCCATTTTACATGGTTGATTTGGTTATGGCCAAGCAAAGCCGGCCTGATTCAGGTAAAGAGGAACTCGATACCTGTGTCAAGCCATTAATCATGAAGTCTGTCACAGGAACAATGGCTGGTCTTGTAAGACCATACATATATCACAAAATGGTGACCAGATTCTTTTGTTTGTAGCAGTCGTTTGTGGCCGTTAGGAAAGATCTAAATTACCAGCATCTTTTAAACTGTTCAAATATTTTGAACATTTGGTAACAACAGTATCTTATCAACACAAAACAGCCACAGTGTTACAATAAGTCAAGACATGCTTATTAATTCAACTAAAATATCAGTAATTTCTTTTAAAAATCTATTTATTATAAATCCGTAAGTAGGCATACATCTACTTACTTTTGAAATTCACTAATCTTAAAAAATTAAATAAATTAAAATTCATAAGTACAGTATTTAATTTAATCCTTTGGTATCTAATTTCTTTTACAGTTAATTTGAATGATAATATATGTAAAAGTTAGTTTATCTAGAATAAAGGAACCGTAGTACATGTACATCTTATTTTTTTGCTCTAGACACGTACATGTATTTTTTCATGTACAAAAATATGACAAGCCCTTAGTACAGGTTTAATATTTCAATTTGATCAAATGTCCATATAGGATCTACAATATATTAAATATATCCCCGCAAAAATTCTTTTGTGTGAAATGGGTAAAGCACCTCAATAATAATAAAGATATGAACTATATGCGGGGTCGTAGGAAAGTTTTTCAATACAATACATCAATACAAAATGAAGAGAATACTGGCATGGCGTATCACATATTGACATTCATTGAAAGAGGGTTGACTCTAATTATTGGGGCCCACAAAAGATTATTTTAGATATAATGGTCAGTCGTGGGGAGTTATTAATCCTTTCGTATTCAAACCAACTACTGTTGTCATCTCCTCGCTTTATGATATATATATAAAAAGATAGGAACACACCTGCCCAGCAGACTGAATAGTTGACATAAGTCAACATAAGAGCTGTCCATCTACAAACAGTTAAAACAACTGTACTTAAAAAAAACAGCAACAGTTGCTTGGTGCAGAGAAAAAATATTAACAATTTTCCAACTCCTTTTTTGACACACTACATATGTAATATACAGATAACCATAAATCTTGTTTCCTTGAACATTGAACAATTACAATGAATAAGTAACTACGACACAGAAACTAGTAGCAAAACCTGTAAAATGAAGCCAAAAAACAACGAGGAAATAATTAACCTGATCCTAGTCATAAGTCACGCAATAAAACATATTTAGATGTCATACACTGCTGTAAAAAATGACCTTTGTTGATTTTTTTTAAAAATCTCACAATCCTTACCCCTCTCAATATTAATGCAAATTTAACATTCTTAGTTGAATCGATTATCAAATAGAGACATGTATGGGGTTTAGCATCCACTCAACATCATTTCAGGACTAACATATTATGATCTAAATTCCATTTGGTAACACTCTAAAAATATTATCAATTTCTGTTATGGAACCTTGTCAAGGCAGACATATTTCAACTTAAAGATGCATTACATAAGAGCTACATGTAAATCTGTCTCTTGCAGGTCTTTTTTCTGGCTTCAAATGTTTTATAAATTAATATTCAGACATTTATTCACATGACAAGCCCATATAATTAATTCTCTAGAACCTCGGATGGCTCAGATATTGAGTGGATTATACAATTTCTGCCATTCCTTTGTTAAACTTTAAAATGGACAATCAAAATTTCGTTTATCATTGTGGCAATGGTAGGCCTACATGCACCTGATAATCATGACTATTTATGTTAGTTCTTGTCAAGACTTCAAACATTCATAACTTCTTTCAGAATAAATAGTTTGATTGAAATGTTCAATACATTCATTTTTCATTATTTATTTTTAAACTATTATAGCAATAACAGTCAGCTCTTTATTTAAATCTTACATAATGCATCTTTAAATCTGATGTGGAGGTTTAGATTTTGCAGTGTGTGCTGAGAAAATATAAAACAAGTCTTACCTTTACAGTTCTTATTCTTGGTGAATTTCCGCCGACTTCCATAGCAGTGACTTCTAATTGATATAATTCTGGCAAAACTTCTCTATCCATCTCTTGCGTTGTTTTCAATACTCCATTTAATTTATCCACAGTGTACAGTCTTGGTTGTGAAATTCCATTTGATGTGATGTTGGTCACATAATACTCCACAGTAACGCCAGTTTGACTTGCTGTAGCTTTGAGGGTCAAGATACTTTTCCCTGGTGCTTCATTTTCGTAGATGGTTCCAGAGAGAATGTTAGAAAATACTGGACCATTATTGTTAGGGTTAGAAATAATAATGGTGATGTCCATCCTCGTTGACTTTTGTCCCAGTACATCTCGACCCCCGTTATCTTTGGCTCGAACAGTTATTTTGTAACTGATTGCAGATGATGGTAATTCTTGAGATAGCAAAAGTTCCCCACTTGTAGACTGAAGGGAAAATAAAGATGTATCACCTCCAACAATATCATACGAAACCTGTCCATTGTCACCACTGTCAGGGTCTGTAGCTAAAACCGTGGTGACCTTATCACCTCTAGTACTACCGGCAAGAAGGATAACAGCATTCATGGATTCAAAAACTGGAGCATGATCATTAATGTCTTGAACAATCACAGAAATAACCTTTTCTGACCATTTTCTGGTAGTTTCGGGCATCGCTTTGTCCATTGCTAAGACCGTTATTTTCAGCATGTCATTTTCTTCACGATCTATTTCCTTTTTTATGAAAATTTGACCTGTGTTTTCATCTATCCTGAAGTTGTTGCCGACTGGTTCTTGTTTGGCAATGGAATAAAAGACCTCACCCCCTAGGCCAGAATCTTTGTCAGTGGCTCTTACAATTGTAAGACTACTTCCAACCTTTTTGCCTTCAGAGATGGAGACTGAAGAAGAAGTGTCTTGGAATACCGGACCATTGTCGTTCTCATCCTCAACATTCACAACAAATCTCATAGTTGATGATAAAGATGGGGACCCTGCATCAGAAACGTGAATATCCAAATCATATTGAGCTTTACGTTCAAAGTCTAGCATTCTGGTTAAGTACATTCGTCCAGTGTGAGCATCAATGTTGAAGATGTTTTCGTCATTGCCTGCCACAATGTTATAAAAGAGAACTGCATTGTTTCCAATATCTTTGTCTGTGGCGGAGAAGGAAGCGATCAGATGACCTAGGTTTGTGGATTCAGAAACTTGAACTTGTTGCAAAGCATTCAGAAATATTGGCCTTTCATCATTAAAATCAGTTACTGTAATATCCAATGTTGCTGATGAGCTGTGCTGAATTTTCTTTCCTGAATCTTTGGCAACAACAAGGAGACGATACATATCCTTTTCCTCACGATTTAATCTATTTATTAATGCTACCTGACCAGATCTTTCATCGATTTTAAACTTCTCTTCTTCATTTCCATCAGCAATGCTATATCTGATCAATGCATTATTACCATTGTCTAAATCCTGAGCTGCTAAAATGGTGATGTTCGTGTACTTTTGGGCATTTTCTTTGATTGAAGCTGTAAATCTATTGCGAGGAAAGAGAGGAGCATTGTCATTTTCATCCAGAATATGAGCCTTTACAAGAGCCCGAGCTTGCTTCTGAGGTACTCCATCATCTCGAACATATACATAGAATGAGTAGTAATCACCACTAGTAGTCCTTATGACTTGTTCTCTATCAAAAGATTTGCTGGTAAATATTCTGCCACTAGGAACATCAATTGTGAAGTTCTTCTGACCATCTAACCAATAACTCAATTCAGAGTTACGGCCAGCATCAGCATCTTTAGCCTTTACTTGACCAATGAAAGTATTTACTGGTTGATTTTCATGAATGTAGAGATTGAAGGTTGAGTTCATGAAGATTGGTGGGTTGTCATTATCATCAAGTATATTAATTGTGATGTTAGCAGTCGAACTCCTGGAAATTTCTCCTCTATCACACACAACAACAGTCACCATGTACAAATCTTGTTTTTCTCTGTCCAAAGCATGAGCTACATACATGCTGCCATCTGGGAATATTCCAAATGTATTACCTTCATTCCCACGAACGATTTTGAAATACATTTCACTGTTACGACCTGAATCACCATCAGTAGCAAAAAGTTTGAAAATGTGCTCATTGACAGGTTTTGATTCAGGAATTGACACTTCATATCTGTTACGTTGGAAAACAGGAGTGTGATCATTGACATCTACAATATTGACACGTAATTCCATGGAAGCAGATTTCTGGGGTGAGCCTGCATCAGTAGCAATGATTTTCAGATTAGTGTTGGAAGGGGTCAGTTTACTGATGACTTTCTTTAAATAAATGACTCCTGTTGATTCAACAATGGCAAACATGTTTGAATTGGACTGTAATCTATATGTAACTCTTCCATTCTCACCTTCGTCAGAATCAGCTGCTTCCGCAAGGAAAATGTTGTGTCCAATGGGCCAATTTTCAATTACATTAGTAGTCACAGCTGAAGACCTGAATTTGGGAGAGTTGTCATTGACATCAGAAACTGTAACATTCACTGTGACATCTCTAAATTTGGATCCTGCCATGGTGATGATTTTTAAGCTATACAGACTTTGGACTTCTCTATCTACCTTTTTACTGGTGGTTATTTCGCCAGTCCTTGTGTCGATTTCAAAGGTGCCTAGAGGATCTCCTCCTGCTATAGCATACGTGACTCCACCAGCTGCATTTCTACTTGTGGCAGAAACTTGACCAACTCTACGACCTATCTGAGCTATATCACTGTCTCCATCTTCTGGAATTCGGAAGGAATAAAACTGTTGACCAAAAACAGGAGCAATATCATCTACATTGGTAACAGAAACTTTGACTACAGCATTCTTATCAGAGACTCTTCCACCTCCATCTGTTGCTACAATGGTCAATTCATATGACTGGGCTGTGCTGCGACTTAGTTGTTTTGTAGTTCTAATCGAACCAGTTCCAGAATCAATAAGAAAACTGTTAAAATCACTGCTACCAAAGGAATATGTTATTTTACCATTTTCAGCTTCATCAGGATCAACTGCAGCCACTCGAACTACTTCAGTACCAGACGGACGATTTTCCTGAACGTTTCCAAAAATAATCTCTGGGTAGAATCGGGGAGCATTATCATTAAGATCATTAACCATGAGATTAATAGTGGCAGTGGAGGAGAGGGATGGATTTCCGTGATCACTGGCAATGAGAAGAATTTTGTAGGAGGAAACAGTCTCCCTATCAAAAGACTTTAATGCTGTTATGATCCCCAAATCTGTGTTCAAACGAAATGTTCCAGGATAGAGACTATCAACATCTGGATGAAAACTGTATGAGACCGATCCATTTATTCCATTATCTCCATCTTCTGCTTGAACAGCCAATACTTCTCTTCCAGCATTCAAATTTTCATCCATATTCAAATTGTAAACAGACTGGTTAAAAGTTGGTATTTCATCATTTTCATCCAATATTGTCACAACAACTGATGCATGGCTAACAAAAGGTTGCGAACCACCATCTTGTGCTGAGACATTTAAGTGGACCTTTGCCTGCTTTTCATGATCTAATGGAGTTTTGATTGTAATTAGTCCAGTTGCACTATCAATTTCAAACCAATTCAATGCATTACCATCATCAATTGAATAAACCAGGTCGGAATTTAATCCATAGTCTTGGTCAGTTGCCTGAACGCTGGCTACAAAGCTGCCAGGGAGGGATGTTTCCGGTAGACTGACAGAATATTGGGATTGTTTGAATACCGGGGCGTGGTCATTAGCATCATTAATCTTGATGATGAGAAAAGCTGTTGAACTTCTGGGTGGAATACCTTTATCAGTTGCAACAACAGTTAAATTGTAGATTCCAAGTTTTTCACGATCTAAATGTCCAGCTACTCGAACAATGTTTAGGGAAAAAATACTCATGAGTTTGAAATGTCCAAGTTCATTTCCTCGCGTAATTCGTACTATAGTTTCACTATTGATGCCAGTATCTGCATCCTGGACACTGATTGATGCAACACGCTTTCCTGACTCTGTATTTTCATCTACAGAAGAATAATCTTTTGATGGATCCGGAACATGATCAAAAGTGATAACCGGACTATGATCATTTGTATCGACTATACTGATGGTGATGTAGGCGCGGTCGGATAAGGATGGGGAACCCTTATCTTCAGCCAGTACAGTCAACAGACAACTATACGGACTACAGGTTAGAGACTTCCCACAAACACGACTACATTTAAGAGGTTTAGTCTGTGAACGCACGATGCCAGTATCTTCTTCGATGGAAAATTGACCTGTATCGTCTAATAAACTGTAAATAATTTCTTTGTTAAGACCGATGTCCGCATCGGTGGCTAATACTTGTATCACAGAAGTTCCAATGAGGGCATTTTCTAATATTTTAGTTGTATATTCTCCGGCAGTAAAACTTGGGGGATTGTCATTAATGTCTGAAACTGATATGTTGACTAACAGAAATCCGTAAAGTGGAGGAATACCATTATCCCTCGCTGATATATTCAACAAATAATGGTCTTTTGTTTCACGATTTAAACTCTTTAAAGTTTCAATATACATGAAAGGGGAATTAGAACTTGGAATAACTAATTTAAAATTTCCTTCATGATTTCCAGAAATAATATCATATTGAGACACAGTTCCGTTTGGTCCTAAATCAATGTCTGTCGCAGTCACTATGATGTGTTGCGAACCTTTTGCGTTTTCGGAAAAAGTTATATTCATAGTTTGCTCCTGGAACACCGGATTATTGTCATTTATATCTAAAATTTTGATTAAGATTTCCACTGGGTGGGGAGGGTTAGAAGATTTTGAACCAAGGGCAAATAAATTTATGACATCTTGAAAAAACTTGGAAGAATCCCGATCTAAAATTTGTTTATTTTTTAACACACCTGAGGAAATATCTAAAGCAAAATAGTCACTGGGTCTATCCAACTGATAAGTGTAACCCGGTCGGACTGGAATGACCCCCACAGTCGTACCTGGGGGTAAACCTTCTAATGTCTCAAAGTTCACTCGGTCGTCACCTGGGCCATTTCCCTGTGCAAATTCCACTAAAAAATGTACTAACAGTAAAAATAGAATTCGATGCAACGTCCTATGTGGAATAATTATGTTAAAACGTGAAGCCACGGTTCTCGTTGTGACTTCCATTTTGGCCGCAAAGCTTGTTTGAGTCCTTGGTTATAATGTACAACACACGGCACAGGTAAATCCAGGTGTAAACACTATCGTTGAATGATGAATTGACTTATAAGATCCACCATTTCTCCACATAGTACCACTTATATTATACTCCAATAGCATTATAAAACATACACATATATTCCATGTATAACATAGTGATACACATTTAGATATAACGTGAGAAACAGTTAGTACATGTATACGTTAAACTGATTATAGTCTCACGAACGTAAACCGAGTATCTTTCAATGTTGATAAGTTTCCAGCTCCACTCGCTAGCATGTTCGGACTTCTCGTCTATTTCCATATACCACTACATATCATGCAAACTAAGTTAATACACGGTAAATACACAATCACATTTAGTATCCATTTTGCTATTAAAGTTTATCTCATACTAAAGTCATAATACACAAATACCTTACGTACAGTGTTATACTGTTTTGAACAGCGTCACGATCGTTACACTTGGTAGCACAGTATTCACACACAAACCAAGCTCCATCTTCAAACCCCGCCCCCATTGAATGATTGACAGTCGAAACAACCAATCAAAATCTCCCCTTTACTTATTTTATACAGAAGTGCATCCGACGTTGCAACAATCGGATATCCGTACACTTTAGAAAACTTGTGTCTGTTCGTTGGGCATTTCTTACCGAAAAAAAATATTTACAAGTGACTTCGATGCAACAAAAGCAAGTTTGATCAAACGAAGCCGCCATTGATCAAGCCGTTTAACATGTTACATATTGACTGCGTTGCGGTGACACAGGCATTACATTGTCAATTGGCGCAGTGTAGGTAAAAATGTCAAATCGTCCAAGAAAATATGTAGTTTTGTTTGAACGATTAGATATTTTGGCGGAAATGAGCCTATTACTGTTTTATACATGCATTTTGGAAACGTATATTTGGCTGCATCATACATAGATATGAAAATTCATGGAACCTCAGTTACTGGACAAATTTCCACCCAATTCTTGGTCAATATTTGTAATATTTCAATCGAAGGCCTCGGATATTCTTATACGCGTACTAAATATGACGCAGGATATTTTACAAGTGATTCTGTCCAATATAAAAATATGTAAAGCAGATTTAGCAACGTAAACTTTCCAAAAGAGATGATAAATAGTATTGGGTGTTCTAAAAAATGAATTTGCATACCCTGCCCAATAATCGGTACAATGTCTGTTCTTTATTTTCATAAACAAAAATAAAACAAATTTCAACATACATGTAAAGGGGGGTAATTTGGAAATGATGTATTAAAAAACAAACATTACTGAACCCACTTATGAAGTTAGCCAGGAAAGTCTGCCATCGTAAAAAAGTAAATTTAATAACAATTGAAAAATCTTTTTATTTTAACCTCAGTTCATTTTCTTTTTTATTTAAATTATTTGTATTATATTTTTGAGTAATTTTCTTGACTTTTGTTCCTAAAGGTGGTATTAAAAATGTTTAGTTGTCCAGGTAGGGCATGGTCCAAAACATTTGGAAGACTCTGATGTAGTTTCGGTTACTACCTTTTTTGGTTCAGTCTAAAGCATTTTCTAGGAACACATTAAATATGTTCTATCACCTTCATCAAGAAAACCAAAGTAATAAATTTTACATTATATAAACTCGAAAGAAGTTAGATTCACCTAAATAACTATAAAAATAAATAACAATATGGCCTCACCATATTATGCTATGTCAGCCCCGGATTAACCATGGTGGGGGTCCTCAACCTAACACAGATGACCAGAACTTAGGGTTATGTTAGGTACCACTTTTCCCGCTAAATAAACAAAAAAAAAACCCCAAAAAACTACGAATACCAGTCGAAGGTACGATGCCGGGCCTCGGAGGGTCCATCACTGCTACTAGCAGATGAAGTCCTCGATCCGAACATGTTCACATCGCAAATGGAATTTGTTTTTGTTTATTTGGTGTGTGTGTGTGTGTGTGTGTGTGTGTGTGGGTGTGGGGGGGGGTGATGTGGGGAGAGGACCTGTGCCCCACTGTGCCCCGTGCTTAATCCGGCCTCTGTGCTATGTACAACGCATCTATATGTTGCAAATTCAGCAACTGAATTGTTGGGGGGTTTTTTTTTGGGGGGGGGGAGATTTGGGGGGGGGGGGACCTGTGCCACACTTTGCCCCTTGCTTAACCCGGCGCTGTGCTATGTACAACGCATGTATTGAGCCTGAGAACATCTATATGTTGTAACTGTAGAGTCAAATCAAGTTAAATCGAATATTATTATTTATCAACCAGCAATGATCTCAAAAGCGCCTTGCATTTTTAAATTCTACTCTTTAACCCCTTAATTCCAGCCGTTTTAGACACGTTTTTCATTTGGAATTTGAAAACTAAAATTTAACCTTATGACCAAAATGGAGTTTATATTATTAATACTTAAATAGTTTTATTAATATATTGATCTATGGCAGCGTAATTTCAGCATAATATAAATATAGGTTTAGGACTTACACATGACTAATGATGACTGTATCAAACTACATATATAACTGACCAAACTATACTGGGGATACGAATGAAAGTCACGTCGTGTACGCAGTTAGGGTTTTATAAGAATCGAGAAGTGAATGTTTTAATGCAGCGTCAATGCTTTTCAATGACACAAACTGTTTATTAATGATATATAGCCAACGCCTTTGATGTTGTTTTTGTTTTTAATGCATTTTTCTTTTTATCAGCCGTTCGTTGGTTCCTGGAATTTAACGTTGACTTCATTTTGCACACACAACGTTCGAATGGTATCATGTATTCATGTTCTTTCTTCGGTTTAGTTGTTCGGAATACAGCCCGGTGAAAAATGAATCTCATGACAGCAGGTACCCTAAGAAGTTAAAACCGACTGCTGCGACCGCTGTTCGGGAATAAATAAGACCACGTAGCGCTGCGAGAACAATATTCAAAATGATACAGGGGTGAGTGGGTTGAGGGTATTCCGGGGACGTAAATTATGGCGGTGTGGATTGGTAACACTCCGTTGAAAGAGTAGCAAACAAGCCAATAGATCTATGTAGCTGCTTGATAAAAACAGTCTGCTGAACAGTTTGGATCAAAAATCGATGTAAGCGGAGCGATAGGACTTAAAGACGAGATCGAGTGGTCCCCACTGAACAAACGAACCTGTGCAGAAAAAGTTGGGTCTGATTAATTATGTTCAACGGGGACCACTCCATCTTCTGTTCGTATAAATCTGTCAATTTGTATAGTATCAAATTCATTATTATTACAACTTATACGTATATAGGCATATTGGGTATTGTATAGTATATTATGTGTGCCTACTATTTTACAAGCAGAAATGTCAAAGCTAAGGTACCAAGCCAAACCGGGTACCGAGTCAAACCATTGGGCTTGATCCAAGGTGGCGGTTCGACTCGGGACCAGGTTTATAACTTATTTTGTAACTAAAAAGGTACCGAACCAAATCGCGAAACTGATCACAATATACACCGGCGTTTTTTGCGCTCTTTATATATTTCAGAAATTACTCCCAAATTAAGGTCTACCAGCTAATAATTATCACTCGTTGTATGCGTGTAACTCGGCAAAGATCTCAATGATTTTAAGTTTTAACATTGTTAAGTCCATATTTATTAGGAGGACTAATATTGACCGAAAATAGTTCTTTGCCCGAAAAATCGTTAATTACTGCCGAAATATTTTGTGTCGAAAATTCAAATCTGCACACACATCAGCCCGCGTCTATAAATCTTAATTTACAGAATTGGAAGGTCGTGAAATATTATGTAGAAGCTTACCGGCCATGTTGTAAACAACAATTTTACCTTTTATTGTCATTTATGTAACAAATCGCAGTATAATTATGGGATGTATGGCATATTATACCACATGATTAATGAACCTTAATCCCCAAATATAGTGATTTATTGTCTTAGCAAAACTGTGGAGGAAATCCTATATTAAATATTATACAACAGAGCTACTGAATACATGTAACGAATGGCCTATATCAGTAGGAGGTCTAGGGATAATAACAATAATAAAGAGCTCCTCATAAATCTGGGATTAGAGATTACAATAATATTAATATGACATTGTTGTTCACAAAGATTATATATAAAACAATGAGGACTGATTTTATTGTAGAAAACTGGACTACTGTAATCTTTTAAACAGGAAAACTTTACTTTTTATGTTAAATGAATGAGATGGGGTTTAACGTCCTATGCCCCAACCGCGGTGGGCTATGAAAACGGTGATGTGAGACAAAATTATTATTTGATTTTCAAACACCTTCTCGAGCCGAAAACATATTTTGTGTAACGAGACAGACATTCTGGAATTGAAGGAAATATGTTCTATTAAAGTCTAGGCTTCAATTAGTTATCGTTAGTCTGTTTATGTCGCATGTGCCAATATTAGTACATCTCCTCAAATGAAAGATGGGCATATGTAATGGCATGTGCTGGGGGAACTTTGCACAGATATCGGTATTTTCATGTACTCTTCATTGATTTGCATCTATCGAGAGGTCTTTTACTTACATGCCAACCACGCGTGGGCATTGGTTTTTCTTGTTCCATCCGAACGACTAGATACCCTTTTCCTTGTCATGTCCTCTGTGCTACACCACTGACAAAAACCTTTTGAGGATCGAACCCTGGAGTTCCTGGTTAGTGGACCAGCTCCATACTCACAGAGACACCATGGCTACTTCTAAATTGAAAGAATGCGAGATAATTTAAAAATTATATACAAGGCTGGTCGCTATTTATCAATTTATTTGACCAAATATTCAATATTCAATCAGGTACACCAGATTTCTAAGATAACGTAAAAAAGCTATGACCCCCACCCCACCCCCGAGTTCATTAATTTTACTCCCGTGCTTATTTAGGATACACGGAGGCCAAGAGATTAAGACGTCGGCTCGCTAACCTGTAAGTCCCATGTTCTATCCCTGCGTTGGCCGAGAGAGTTCATCGGGATTGTTAATGGTGCAGGAGCGAGGTCCCGTGTACACATTGGCGTGTACGTTAGTAGACCGTAGCGCCGCTGTCGGGGCGAAACTTCCCTCATAGCTCACTCTATGGCGTATGCCCGACTTCATTAGCCCATTGGTAGTAGAACAGTGGGGCGTTTAACCCTATTTCATTTCATTTCAGCCCCCGCCATACAAAGGTTTGGTGATGCCCGAAGACAACTCCTAGATTTTACGCAACCAAGACTCATGTATAAATATTAAGCGTAGAAATGTGAGAATAGGAGACATTTTGAGTGTCGAGATCACAACTTTGCTCAGAATAAAGTAATATGATTAAAATTTTCAATATACTTCTTTTCCATTATCTATTTTGAAACTGTATAGCCCGAACTTTCAGATCTTTATCGAAATCTTACACCATGTATCTCAATAAGGGTGGCTGCGGTATGTTCTAAGCGGGGACTTTTACCATACAATTGTAATGTTACACCG